CTTTTTGGAATTGGAAAAAGCAAATTTAAAAGAACACTATGCACCATAACCACGACATCATGCTGTAGTGGTTATAGTGCCAGAAGTTACTTGACCCCCCCCCCCACCCCGAACATTGTATGTTGTCAAACCATTTGCTAGTGGTTTGACTGCTTACCTAGTGCCACTACTTCAAATGTAGAGATGGTTGGTGTGTAAGCAGGAGCTTCCACTAGCTCCCCTGGGCTAGGCACTGATTAGCCCAGGATAATGACTAGCTAATTATCAGAGATTTAGAGCAGCTTTGCACCTCCAAGCTCAGCTCGGACAGAGCGCATCCACCTCTCTGTCTGAAGTTGTAAAGGTGGGGAGCAACGCACAGCCAACCCAAGGTAAGAAGAAAAACTGTTAGCAAAAGTTTGACTTCTAAGAATGTGGGATGGCAGGGCATGTCTGGCACCATGACCCCCACTGTTTGGCTTATGGTGCCTAGAGTGTTCTTTGAAATAAAGGATTCTCCAAGAACCATAACAACTTTTGCTACTTGCCTGGGCTATGATCCCCTTTCCCTGGCTCTCGGCACAATTTATTTTTTTTAAAAACATTTCCAATTTTCAAAACTCATTGTACCCAATTCATAATACAGACATATCACAGGAGGAAGCCATACTCCTTTGCTCATAACAATATTTGTACAGTGTAAGCACTCAGGGAGTGCACAGGCTATAGAAATAACCTCCTTCCCAGCCAACTGTGAAGGATCGTGAGCTATAATGGCACACATAATAAATCCCATCTGACAGCACAAGAATCACAAAACTGTAAATTAAGTGCTCTCAGCTTTGGCAATGATTCTGTTAATTTTATGTGATGAATTGCTGCCACGTGCGTAAAGAAACACTATACACTGCTGAAGCACTTTAGCCTTCTGAAGCACTTTCTGTGTAAATAGTGTGTCCTCTTGTCAGTCAAGCAGACAACAGGTCCTGTTACTTCCTGGTTTGGTTAGCTCAGTGGAGCTGAACTCAAGAGGCAGCAATTGCTCAGAGCACCTGCCTTGCAAAGACTTCTCATTGAGTTTGCATTGGGAAGTCTATGATTGGACAGCCACAGAAAGTCTGTGCAGGGTTAGAAGGGGAGGGCTAGCAAAGGCAGCAGACAAAAGATCTACAGATGTTGCAGGGTGTTTTTAGGTATACAATGTACAATGAAATTCATAGATGTTTAATCGGGTGTATATCTACTAAATAGTCATGTAGTATCCCTTGAATTACTTGTCTCATAAAACTCCTTAACTTCTTGGAAAATAAGGGAGCAAGGCTGAGCTACTGCACATACATTGAAGTTGTAGCAATAAATGCAGTAACTTCAGAGGGTAATTTATTTCTATGCATATTTCATAATTTTAGGGGTAGAACACCTTGGGCACTCCAGATGTTGTGGACTACTGATGTGTTGTCGGCATTATGGCTGTAAGAGCATTATGGTAGATAAAATTCTCTTCACCCTGGTAGCCATCGTGCCCTACCTCCCACAGGGTCTGTAGCAAGCCTTTTGGATGAGACTGTAGTCAAACAAGTCACTTACGAGAACAACTAGAGTTACTGTGAGTAATAACCACATGCTATACAGGAAAGCAGAGGAAAAGAAAAACAGACAAATCTTTTCCCTCTGCAAAGCTTAGAGGCTTCTTTTTTTCAGGAAAGGTATTCCAAAACTCACATCTGGCTTGCATTCCTAATAGTTAGTAGCATGCCAATAAATAAACCTATACTGAGGAGTACTCCAATGCATTGTTCAATGACATGGACAAAGGCAGACAGACAAATATAAAAAGTGTTTATTAAGGAAAAATAATGCCATTGAGAGGTACTGGAACTATCACCATAAACCACAACAGCAGAAGGTCTCCAATACACCAAATTGACACATTATTATCTCCTAACATGAGCCTCAATGTTATCTACCTTTTACCAGGGACGTCTAATATATGAATAGGACCCCAGGCAAAGCATTTTCTTGGGCCCCCTGGGCCCTGCCCCTCCCCACCCCCCCAATTACGCCCAACCCGCAATCACACTGACAGACATACTGACACATACACAGACATATTATAACATTCGCAGATACATACTGACACACAAATATATACTGGCAGACATACTGACACACAGAGACACATACATACATACACACACACACACACACACAGACATACCGACACACACACACAGACATATTGACATACATTCAGTCGCCCAGCAGGTTCTAACCTTTTTCTGGAGGGTGGTTTCCCTGGGGTCCAGTGGCAGCTGGGAGATATCCTCTGGAACTCTTGGCCTGGCTCTCTCCTCCCTGCCTTCCTCCTCCCGCGTGGCTCTGATCGTTGGTGGGAGGAAGTGATGCTTCCTCCCCGACGGCTGCCGAACAGGAAGGGGCCCGGTCGCGCTGTTTAAGCACCACAGCACCCGACTGGGCCCCTGCTGACACATGCTCACCGGGTGGCCCTTAGTGCATGGGCCACCCAGGGGGCCTCCTTAGGGTGCGGGCCGGTGCGGCTCTGTGCAGCCGTACCGCCGGGTCCATGGGGGCTGCGCAAATAGCGGGGCTCATGGGGCAGCTGCCCCGTTTGCCCCCACGTTAAAGACGGCCCTGCCTTTTACACCGGTGTTTTTCAACATTTTATGAATGTTGAAGTACCCGTGCAGATCTAAAAAAATAATAATAATCGTAATGCCTCTCGAAAGTAATTTATGTTGCTTTAAATTCAAAATGAAACATGTAGAAACATTTTTTTAAGCTAATACCATATTGGAGATCAAGTCTGATTAAAGGTTGTAAAGAATATCATTCAAATAAATATGACAATATGTGAATACAGGGAGTGCAGAATTATTAGGCAAGTTGTATTTTTGAGGATTAATTTTATTATTGAACAACAACCATGTTCTCAATGAACCCAAAAAACTCATTAATATCAAAGCTGAATATTTTTGGAAGTAGTTTTTAGTTTGTTTTAGTTTTAGCTATGTTAGGGGGATATCTGTGTGTGCAGGTGACTATTACTGTGCATAATTATTAGGCAACTTAACAAAAAACAAATATATACCCATTTCAATTATTTATTATTACCAGTGAAACCAATATAACATCTCAACATTCACAAATATACATTTCTGACATTCAAAAACAAAACAAAAACAAATCAGTGACCAATATAGCCACCTTTCTTTGCAAGGACACTCAAAAGCCTGCCATCCATGGATTCTGTCAGTGTTTTGATCTGTTCACCATCAACATTGCGTGCAGCAGCAACCACAGCCTCCCAGACACTGTTCAGAGAGGTGTACTGTTTTCCCTCCTTGTAAATCTCACATTTGATGATGGACCACAGGTTCTCAATGGGGTTCAGATCAGGTGAACAAGGAGGCCATGTCATTAGATTTTCTTCTTTTATACCCTTTCTTGCCAGCCACGCTGTGGAGTACTTGGACGCGTGTGATGGAGCATTGTCCTGCATGAAAATCATGTTTTTCTTGAAGGATGCAGACTTCTTCCTGTACAACTGCTTGAAGAAGGTGTCTTCCAGGAACTGGCAGTAGGACTGGGAGTTGAGCTTGACTCCATCCTCAACCCGAAAAGGCCCCACAAGCTCATCTTTGATGATACCAGCCCAAACCAGTACTCCACCTCCACCTTGCTGGCGTCTGAGTCGGACTGGAGCTCTCTGCCCTTTACCAATCCAGCCACGGGCCCATCCATCTGGCCCATCAAGACTCACTCTCATTTCATCAGTCCATAAAACCTTAGAAAAATCAGTCTTGAGATATTTCTTGGCCCAGTCTTGACGTTTCAGCTTGTGTGTCTTGTTCAGTGGTGGTCGTCTTTCAGCCCTTCTTACCTTGGCCATGTCTCTGAGTATTGCACACCTTGTGCTTTTGGGCACTCCAGTGATGTTGCAGCTCTGAAATATGGCCAAACTGGTGGCAAGTGGCATCGTGGCAGCTGCACACTTGACTTTTCTCAGTTCATGGGCAGTTATTTTGCGCCTTGGTTTTTCCACACGCTTCTTGCGACCCTGTTGACTATTTTGAATGAAACGCTTGATTGTTCGATGATCACGCTTCAGAAGCTTTGCAATTTTAAGAGTGCTGCATCCCTCTGCAAGATATCTCACTATTGTTGACTTTTCTGAGCCTGTCAAGTCCTTCTTTTGACCCATTTTGCCAAAGGAAAGGAAGTTGCCTAATAATTATGCACACCTGATATAGGGTGTTGATGTCATTAGACCACACCCCTTCTCATTACAGAGATGCACATCACCTAATATGCTTAATTGGTAGTAGGCTTTCGAGCCTATACAGCTTGGAGTAAGACAACATGCATAAAGAGGATGATGTGGTCAAAATACTCATTTGCCTAATAATTCTGCACTCCCTGTACTGTGTATTTCCCATTGTACAGCGCTATGGAATTTGTTGGCGCTATATAAATAAGATATAAATAAATAAAATAATAATATTTAAAAGGGACACTATAACAGTCACTATAACAACTGCAGCTTATTGTATTTGTTATGGTGAGTAGAATCAGTCCCTTCAGACTTTTTGCAGTAAACACTTTTTTTTCAAGAGAAAATGGAAAATACAGCACTTACATTAAAGCCTAGCAGTGTTAATTTTGGCAGCAAATTTCAATATAAATTTTTGTCATAGTTTTTGACTAAAAAGCCATTATAGTTTTAAATGTATTTTAGTAATTTGAATTGTTTTAGTTTTAGTCTAGTTTAAGTCAACACAACTAAAATCTAATGGGCTTAGTTAAAGCCTCTTGTGACGGACCACGTGGCACCTTCGACCGGGTACCTCTGTCAATTGCTGCTTCCTAGTACTTGCGAGCACCATAAGCACTGCACTAGAACACCATAACCACCGTAACCCCACGAACCGCCGCAGCTTTGTTTGGAGTCTCACTGTCTTCCACCCACCCTGGAGCCAAGACCAGGATCCCATATCAAGGAGGTAGACCTCTCCTAATCCAGAGAGCGTAGCAGCAAAAGCTCTTATAAGGGGAGTATTGTGATATAGCAATCCCTAGAGTGTATGTAGTTCTCCAATCCCCCAAACATGAGCCAAGACTTCATGAAGGGGTAAACTAATCTCTCTTTAATGGGAGCCACACTTGGCATTATATGACAATCCCCATGCAAGGGGTACGCCCACAGGGACCTTGTGGGGGACAGATTTGCAACTTCACAGACCAATAACAATAAGGTTACAAGGCACGACACTCCCACACATAGCACACAATCCCTCCCCTTTGCTTGGGAGATAATTGGATCAGTAACTGTACTAATTCTAATACAATTATCTCCAAACACAGAAAAAAAATACTTTTAAAAAAACACCCCAAAAGTACCCTAAAATACATAAAACCCCACAAATGTTACATTCCCTGATAGCCCTGACCAACATATCCAAAAATCACCCTGATCAGTTCAGGAATTTCCTGGAAGTCATTTATTTACTGACCACAGGCATGGTCCCATAGCCGAAAATAGTTCCATAGAATCGCGGCTAAGTGCCGCTGGAGGACCGACTAGGAACCGCAAAGTTTTCATGCAGAAAATAGTTCCAGGGCATTCGCGTGGCGCCCGGCAGTGAGGCAGAGCATCGGAAGCCATCAGGCAACCTATTATTATAAAAAAATTAATAATATTTAAAAACAAAATGTAAAAGTTATTTTAAAAAATATTAAAAAAAAAATATATATATATATATATATATATATATATATATATATATAAAAAGCGAAATATACATATGTCCATATACCGTATATAAAATGCAAATATATACAGCGAAGAAATAAAATAAAGTGTGGTAGCTGTAAAGCTACAAACCCCCTGAGTGGAAACCCCTTACACCACTCAACAAATAAAAGGCAAATACATACAGTACAGAAGGTTGATCACACTTGAATAATGTCTGTAAGAAATATAGATAAAACACGTAATAGTGTAGTAGTCTCTGGATAATAAAATATAGAGAAAGTGTAGTCTGGTACTCACAAGCCTGGAGCCAAATCTCATATGGCTCCCATGGATATCGCCTTGGGACTATTAAAAAGGATGCCCCCTTCCTGTTTCCACATGGGCTGATGGCTGTTCCACTTGAAATAAGATCCAAGATCCAATGAGGGTCTTATACTTGGACTACTACAGCCAATTGGCAGGACTTAATAGCTTCATATAGCTATATATTTTATTTCTATTTGTTTTTGCTGTTTTATACCTTTTTATACAATAAATACTACTTTTTTATTAAGACCCTCATTGGATCTTGGATCTTATTTCAAGTGGAACAGCCATCAGCCCATGTGGAAACAGGAAGGGGACATCCTTTTTAATAGTCCCAAGGCGATATCCATGGGAGCCATATGAGATTTGGCTCCAGGCTTGTGAGTACCAGACTACACTTTCTCTATATTTTATTATCCAGAGACTACTACACTATTACGTGTTTTATCTATATTTCTTACAGACATTATTCAAGTGTGATCAACCTTCTGTACTGTATGTATTTGCCATATACCGTATATACTCGAGTATAAGCCGAGTTTTTTAGCACATTTTTTGTGCTGAAAAACCCCCACTCGGCTTATACTCGAGTCAAGGTCTGTATTATGGCAACTTACATTGCCATAATACAGACTAGGACCGCCGGGCTCATTACAAGCCCGGCGGTCCTGTTAGGGGCTGACAGTGAGCTGTTACTTACCTTCCTGCAGCTCCTGTCAGCTCTCTTCTGCTCCGTGCAGCTCCTCTGTCAGCTCCGTTCTGCTTACAGTGTAAGTCTCACAAGACCCGCGGGTGTCGCGAGATTTACACTGTGAGCAGAACGGAGCTGACAGGGGAGCTGCATGGAGGAGAAGGGACCTGCAGGAAGGTAAGTAACAGCTCACTGCCAGCCCCCCCAACTGAACAGCCAATGCCACTGGACCACCAGGGATTCAGTATTATTATTTTAATATTATATTATTTTAATAATATTATTTTATTATAATATTATATTATTTTAAAAATATTATTTTAATATTTGCATTATTTTTTTTTTAAATGTTTTTTTGTCCTCCCTCCCTGCTTGTTGCTTGGCCAGGGAGGGGGGACAAAAAACATTTTTTTAAAAAATAATGCAAATATTAAAACAATAATATAATACAATATTAAAATATTAAAATTATAATAAAATATTAAAATAATATATTTAAAAAAATAAAAATGCCCTCCCCTTACCCAGTTTACACACACTGCACAAACACACACACTGCATTCACACAAACACAACACACAAACACACATTGCATTCATTATATACACACACACACACAACACACACAAACACACATTGCATTCATTATATACACACAAACACACTCTGCATTCATTCTATACACACACTGTAAATAAATATTCAATTAATGTAATTTTATTGGGATCTAATTTTATTTAGAAATTTACCAGTAGCTGCTGCATTACCCACCCTAGGCTTATACTCGAGTCAATACGTTTTCCCAGTTTTTTTATGGTAAAATTAGGGGCCTCAGCTTATATTCGGGTCGGCTTATACTCGTGTATATACGGTACATAATTAATTCCATAAATATACATGTAGACTTCAAATATATAAATATGTTATATATTTAAGGTCTACAAGCATATATATGTAATATTTTTACATAATTAAGTAATTTTATTGATTGCTATTTGGGGGACCTGCCTGACAACCCAGGCCAAAAATCCAGAGGATTTAATTTGCTAGTACTATATTTAAGCCTGTAACTTTCCAACACACCCTAAAACATGTACATGGGGGAACTGTTTTATTCAGTAGACTTCACTGAACACAAATATTAGTGTTTCAAAACAGTATAACATATCACATCGATGATATTGTCAGTGAAAGTGAAGTTTTTTGCATTTTCCAAACACAAATGGCACTTTCACTGATGATATCATTGTTGTGATACGTTTTACTGTTTTGAAACACTAATATTTGTGTTCAACAAAGTCTCCCGAGTATAACAGTACCCCCCATGTACAGGTTTTTTTTTTAAAAGTTACAGGCTCAAATATAAGGCTCAATTTTCCATTTTTTCACATTGAAATTTGCCAGATTGGTTATGTTGCCTTTGAGAGCGTATCGTAGTCCAGGAACGAGAATTACTCCCATGATGGCATACCATTTGCAAAAGAAGACAACCCAAGGTATTGCAAATGGAGTACGTTCAGTCTTTTTTTTAGTAGCCACTTAGTCACAAACACTGGCCAAAGTTAGAGTTCATAATAGTTTTTTGCATTTTTAACACACAAACAAATAAAATAAAAAAAATGCTAACTTTAGCCAGTGTTTTAGTGGCTATGAATACAGACTGGACATACCCCATATTAAATACTCTGGTTCATCTACCAAAAAAAATATGTACATGTGAGGTGTGATTCAGAGATTTATGACAGATAACAGTGTTACAATGTCACGATTGATACATTTTAAAAATATATATTTTGAAACCGCATGTCCTACTTGTACTTATAGCCCTATAACTTTCCAAAAAAAGCTAAGAACATGTCAACATTGGGTATTTCCAAACTTAGGACACAATTTAGAAACTATTTAGCACAGGTGTTTTTTGGCGGTTGTAAATGCGTAACAGATTTTGGGGGTGAAAGTTAGAAAAAGTGTGGTTTTTTTTTATATTTTATAATTTTTTTATAGTAAATTATATGATATGGTAAAAATAATGGTATCTTTAGAAGGTCTTTCTAACGATACCATTATTTTCATCATATCATATAATTCACTATAAAAAAAATGTAATGGTGAGAAAAACGGTATATAATATGTGTGGGTACAGTAAATGAGTAAGAGGAAAATTACAGCTTAAACGTGGTTACACAAAAACTAAGCAGCCACGCCGACAGAGATATTTCTGACTTACTTTAGTCCCGGCGGGCAGCTGCCCGGTCTCTCTCCGTTCCGGTCCCCAGTGGGTGAGACGTTCTTAAGAATGCCGGCCGCTGGGGTTCAGATTTTTATAGGAAACTTACCTTTGCCCACATAAAAATGGCGCCAACGTACGTGCAACGTCACGTCATAGACTTCTGGCTTTCCTCATCGCTGTGCCTCGTTCTGTGTCCCTGACCTCGGCAAGTATTTTGACTATTCTCAGGTACGTTACGTCCGGCCATTCTAAAGGTCCGGTTAGACTTTATCCTTAGTCCTAGGTGTGATACTATTCTGCGTGCTGGATCAACTATAATCCTGACACCTGGTCCTGAACGGTAAGAAAATTGAAAAACGGTCTGGTTAAATAATTTGAATTTTTATAATTGTTATGAATTAAGACTGGGTACATAGCAAGCCTGGAGACCATGTTTAGCCAGTCATGTAGTTGCTCTACACTGTGAACAAAATTTCCCCCCCCAAACTAAATTTTCCAGAAAGCATGCAGTGCTGACAGCGATTTTTCTTTTTTGAAAGTGATATCATTTCAGAAAGTTGACTCAAAGTTCAAATAACGTGTGCAGCGTACTCGGAGAAGGCTGTTTTCATATGCTAAACGTTCAGTTATACAACGGATTTCTTGGACAGAGGAAGATCTCATTCACATGCAGAGAGTGCGAGTCATACTCTGTATTGTCAAGGCCAATTGGAGGAGAGTGTCATAATGATGTTAATAACGGAGGGAATGAGGGTCCAGAAAGAAAAATACAAACATGGAACAAAATTATTATTATTTTTTTAAATAAGGATAGACAGGATAGGATAGACAGACAACTAGCAAAGGTAGCTCGTTTTTGTTATTTATTTCTTTTTCATTTAAAACCATCTAACTTATCAGGCTTAAAATCTGATTGCTAGCTAGTTGAACTAGATCCCTTTCTCCTAGCCTCTCCTAGTGAAACTGCCCAAACCAGATTCCATCGAAAGGGAGGAACAACTCGACAAGAAATTATAACCGTGTAAATTCTACAACAAATATTTGAGATGGCTGCTCTCACTAGCATGCAGAAAAGAAAGCTTCTACATTAATTATTGGTTAGTGCAAACAGTAGACTGGAACATACCAGTTGGTTGAACTGTTGCACTTTATAAATAACAATAATAACTATGTGATAGGTTTGCTTTAAGTGTTGCTGGAAAAAAAAAATGTTATATTTTAAAATGCATAGTGTCACCAAAAAATTTATATATAGTATTTTGCCAGAGAAATTATATTTACACAATACTTCAGGAACACTTGGCTATTCACCCATTGTACAGCGCTATGAAATTTGCTGGCGCTATAGAAATAATAATAATAATAATAATAATAATAATAATATGCATGAGCACAGATAGGCATCACAATTTAGGCATCGTCTTGCATTAATGCAAAGTATTCAGGGAAAATTTGCTACATGTAAATTATGCAGGCCTCCCTATTGTCCCATTTTTGGGGACACGATTGAACTGTCCCAAAAAAGCACAGCCCTAGTGCATAATTAGACACGCTCGAGCTATGCTCAGTGCGCTATGCTAGTGCTGAAACAGCGTTCTCTGCATGGTCGACCCTTAGATTGCTGGCCTGCTTAATAGGAGACAGCCTGCATTCATACTGGGTTGACCTGTATTTTTCAGGTGAACCAGCCTGCTTTCCATCACTTTTGGTAGCATGAGTGACGTGATTCACGTCTCTGGACTCCCCCCCCCCCCCTTTACTTCTTGCTGTATGGGATGCCAATGTTAGGGGGTATGGATAATGCGCAACAGTATATTTTAATGTTTCTTTTCTAATCACAATGAGAATATGCATTTCAGCATGTACACACAAACAAGCTGTGAATAACACATGAAGAAATTAGCCAGGCAGCCAAGAAGAGTTCAGCACGAGCTCCCACGTCTGGGGACAAAAAACAGGATATTACACCCGGCCATCGACATTCATAGACCGCAGACCACAATTCCCACAACCAGGAGAGGCTGCTGCATCGAATGGTGCCTCTTTTGAACTCCAGCACAGCCAACCTGACACGCCGAGGCTTGCGGCCTACATGAGACTGAGTCACGGAGAGACAGCCACTCTCTGGACACATAAGCAGTGACTGGGAACCTGGTGAAACACCTTCCCCCCCACCAGGAACGGCGGGGGTCATCCTGGTCCACACATAGCAGCCTCACTCACCTTGATGATCGCAGGCGGCTGATATCGCACAAACCTGAGGGACAACACTACCACCCAAAATGGCGGACGTACCCTCTCCACGTGGCAAGCAGCAGCTGCCAGCCGAGCAGGACAGGTGTGCTATGATAGACCGCATGCTACAGCAACTGGACAAGCTATTTGCCCGTTTCTGGCGGTGGTTGGAGGTACGAGCAAAAGCAGCAGCTGGGGGGCAGAAGACCAAACGGAGGCGAACAGAAGAGGGGTTGCGAAAGACCCCGTCGGGCACAACCACCCAAACACCTAGCCCACCCAGGCAGAGAGCCGACAAGGTCTCCCACCAAAAGTAACCCCCACAGAGGCAGAAGCACAGACCCAGAAAGAGACAAAAGACTAGCCAGAGCTTCAGTCGCCTCAGAGAAGAAGGACTTGGACTTGTTTCAGAGACCTCAGGTCCAGGGTATATTGATGCAGGCCCCCAGCGAGGCCCGGGGCAAACGGGATGTCGAGCATAACCCACATACCAGAATGGCCACAGGAATGAACCTAGTAGCTCCCAGGGACTTTGCGGCTATATCAAGCCGAGGCATTGGCTGACAGTGCCATATGTCCCCGAGCACGGTACCCGTGTCCCCCCCAGGACATGCTGCTACATTTAAACCCGTCTGTACCTAGACAGACAATATCGTTAAACCTGTGTTTTAGTTCATTTTATGTTTTTAATTGCCTGCCTAAGCCTACACTTGCTACACAAAAATGGAGACGTCCCAGGGGTTAAACCCGCTACTAGCCTATTATTATATATCCAGCTAGCATGTTATACATCTGTAAACGTGTCTCACTAATTCTTGCTACCATACCTTGAAGATCCATGCATGTCTATTAATCTAATATAAAATTGTGCACATCCAATCTACTACCCAGATTGTAAAGCTTGATATGACGCTAGAGGGTTGCCATTGGGGTACCTCGAGCTTGTTTGTACCTATCCTTTGCACAGCAAAAAAAAAATTTTACAAAAAAAATGAAAATGTAGGCTAAAATATTGCTTGTTGAAATAATGCAATTAGCATTCAGTTAAAAGAAAAAAAAAAGTCTGAAACATATTTCATTTAAGTTTTTTTTATTAAATGCTTATTTTATTGCGGTTTTAGTGGCAGTATTCCTTTAAGGGTTGGTGAAATTATAAAAGATTTAAAAAATAAAATAAAAAATCATTTGGTCGCCGAGCCAACGCTGAACATCCAGCGTTGCCCAAAACCCTATAAGAAAGCATTGAATAATGATTAATTATGGGGAAATCCTAATGTGAGCGTGGCTATTGCTGCGCATGCGCATTAGGTCTCCCATGCCGACGAGGAGAGAAGGCGGATCCGAGCCAGCGCCGTGGGATATTGGCTCCGGACACAGGTAAGTGACAGAAGGGGTTTTTAATCCCTTCTGCACCATGAGGGGGGAAGAGGGGCAAGCTATAGTGCCAGGAAAACAAGTTTTAAAAATCACTCGCTTTGAGAAGTCATGCTCCTCATTCATACAAGGATTTCTTCTAACAACATCCTTATCCTCACGATGGGCCAAGTGCGTACAATAATTTAGTAAAACTAATACAATATTCTGGAATGCATATTAACAGAAACATTGAATGTTATACCAAATGGCAATAGGTCAAATTATTTACTATACAAACAGAGAACAACAACATTGAAAAAAGTGTAAAACGACTGTAACAGAAAATATGTTTAACTAGAAGTTCTAAATTTCCTCTACAAAGAAACGCCATCTCAAAAAAAGGATCATTGGTTTGTGTTGAGCCAGAGAAATTTAACTTTTTCCAATTGTGAACCACTAGTCTAAAACTACCATCAAAACACAGCTGAAGGCAACTTTCCACCTGTATTGTGAATGTTTACATGGTATGTTCAATAAAAACATGGCAACATTTAATTCTTTGTGTGTTATTCTTTTAAGCATACTGTGATTCTGTATTGACTTAGATGATGATGATCAGATCAAATTTTATGACCAATTTGTGCAGAAATCCATATCATTCCAAAGGGTTCACATATTTTTTCTTGCAACTGTATGTATGTATGTATGTATATATATATATATATATATATATATATATATATATATATATACACACACACACACACACACACATACACACACACTGGAGGTAGTCTCTGTAAAAACAAAGCTCGGTATACTCAACAATAATTCTGGGGTGCCGTGGAGGTTTTATGATCTCTCCAACCAGCCTGTTTGACGCAGGAATACCGGTCACCATTGTGATATTGCACCTTGTATTTGTAGACCCATGCTCTAATAAGAGGTCATTCCATAGTATTTGAGTGAAGTCACAGAGCAGCAGAGTCAGATACAGGGCCGTCTTTAATAACGAATGGACCCTGGGCAAGTGTTTGCTTGGGCCCCCTGTGCCCTGCCGCTCTCGCCCCTCACTCCCTGGTATGCAATCACGGCATCCATCCCAACGCAGTGGCGGTACTAAAGTAGAATGAATTTTATTGGGACCCCCAATTGCAAGGTTGGACTAAAGGTAGAACCCCATCTGTCGTGCAACTCCAACAATGCTTTGACAGCTGGGACTCTACCAATTTCCCATGCTTGCAGGGTTGTATTTAGCACTGAGCCATGTTAGTATGTTTGAATGTAAGCATGTGTTTGTATGGAGTATGTTTGTGTGAATGTGTTTGTATGTGGTACTGGAGTTTGAATGCAAGTGTGCATTTATGTGTAGTGTTTGTTTTTGAATGTAGGAGTGTGCTTGTATGTAGTGTTGACGTTTCAATGCAGGAGTGTGTTTTATATGTAGTGTTGAAGTTTGAATGGAGGGGTGTATTTGTATTTAAAGTTGCGGCTCAGATGCACAGGTACACACTCTGACGCACAAGCAGATACACAGATACATACACTGACTACATACAGATAAACAGGCACATACACTGACAGACACACTGACACAGGTACATATATTGACACACACACAGACACATACACTGGTAGACGTACTGACAGACATACTGACACAGGCACATATGACACACAGACACATATACCGACATACTGACACACACACACAGACACATACACTGATCAACATACTGACACACATACACTGACAGAAATACTGACACCCACACACTGACAGATATACTGACACCCACATACACAGAAATACTGACACACACACACAGGCACATACACTGACACACACAGGATATACTGACACACACACAGACATACTGGCACATGCATACACATGCACTAACAGACATACTGACGCACTGACAGACATACTGACACATACACATACTGACACACACAGATATACACACACATATATACTGACACACAGACATACTGACACACACACAGACATGCTGACACACACACTAACACACACACACACTAACACACATACACTAACACACATACACTAACACACACACTAACACACATACACAAACACACAAACACTAACACACACACAAACACACATACACACACAAACACTAACACACATACACAAACACACACATACACTAACACACACACATTTTTTTTAAAAAATGTAATCCCCCAGCCTCCTTACCTTTTGGAGTGCTGGGGGGATTCCCTGGGGTCCAGTGGTGCTGCTGGGCGGGTGGCCGGTCGGGCAGGAAGGCGGGCGCGCGAGGGAGCACTCAGTGCTTCCTCTTCCACACACAGCTCATACGGCGCCCGTAGAAATTACTGCGGCGAAGATGGCGTCATCTTCCGGCTCGGTATCGAATGCTTGATCTTGTGAGGGAACTGAAAGAAGCGCTAATCTCAGCAACCACTACTCCATTTCTCCTCCCGCTAATGACTCGCGGGGCCACGGGCAGTGCCTCGGCAAGAGAAACTGGGCCCGGGGCAGCTGCCCCGTGTTAAAGACGGCCCTGGTCAGATACAACAAAAATAATAATTTGGCAATACCAAACAGAATTACAAAGTTATGCCAAGAAAACATATATATTAGTTGTTGTTTTTTTTTTTATTATTAAATAAAAGTATATATTTTATTTGCACATTCATGTTATTTTTGTTAATATGAGTTGAAATTAATTTTCTAATAATAAACAGAAAAGAAACCTACACAATTCTGGTGTATTTAAAAAATTGTAATGTAAGCCCATATTTTCCATGCTCGCCCTTTGCAGAGGGAAGAGTTAAAGTAGCATCTCCTTTAATAAATCATTAACCTATGGTTTTACTTTAGTTGCCTCTAGCATGAGACATAAGAACAGCAGAAAATCAAATTAACTCTTATTGTGAAGAGGAAATAAAGATAACTACAGATATCCAAGCTCGTAATCTATAAACCTAGGGACACAAAAGCCTGTGTTTTAAAGAGAATGATGCTTATATCAAGATCTAGTAAACAAAACTATCAAAGCACACGTTAACACTAGAGGTGAAATATCATGTTAACAAGCTAGATGTTAAAAATAAAAGGGTGAAAATGATGATATGAAACAGTTCTTAAAAACCTAGTTTGACAAAGTTAGCCATCACTTCTCTAGAATGTAAAAGAACACTCGTTAACAGAGTTAATACATCCTTAAAAGGGTTTACAGGACCACTAAAAGCACACAGATCGCTTCATCTCCATGAAGTTGTCTGGGTGCAGTGGCCCCATCCTTTTAGTCCTGCACTTAAAAATATAGCCCACTAAAGCAGAGCTTGACAAATCCCAGTCGCCAGGTAGCGAAAGCGACTTAGAATTTTGACCTGGGGTGTTTATCAGCTGGCTCAGCACTGGTCACCTTAGGGACCACCCGCGGCGGGCGGATGTGCGGAATGGAGTCGATGATGTAGAGATATGACGTCACCACAATCCAGCATCTCTAAACAGCGTGCAATGGAGCAGAGCCAGAAAAACTTGAAGATTACAGAAACAGAGAAGCCCCACTGGATCCCAGTGAAAAGATCCACTCCAGCCCTCCAAAATGTAGAGAGGCAGGGTGGACAAATTAAAATAAAACAATTAATTAATATTAATATTAATGTGTGAGAGAATCTGTTTGTCTCTCAGTGAGTGTGTCTGTCTGTCAGTGCGTGTGTGTGTGAGGTTTCCAGCCCCCCTCTGAGAAAGCAAATCTAGTGGCCGTCAGAGTGACTTTCACTAGAGTTGTTACTAGACAGCAATGTAAACACTGCCTCTTCTCTTAAAAGGAAATGTTTACATTGAAAAGCCTGCAGGGATAGGCTATAGACACCACAACTGCTACATTAAGCTGTAGTGGTTCTTGTTAATATAGCGTCCCTTAAAGAATTTTATACATTGTTAATATTGTTGCTCAAA